TTAAGAAGTCTTGGTGATATTTTAGCTTTTGTAAGCTGGTTTCTAGAGTGATTTTCTTGTATGCTATGCACTTCCAAGAACTCCTAACAGTGTATTTATCTAAAATACCTGTCAAGCATCCAAGGCTAATCTTCTGAACTAAGGTAACACCCTTGTGGAAACGCCTGTCTCCTAGGTCAGGTGAATAGTTTTGTTTCTTGTGCAATTTAAGCTGAGACCCTCTTTTCTTATACAGCCTCACTAACATTATAGACTCTTCTTACCTAACACTTCCAGGAATGTAGGCTGAGCACACAGACCCCCTTCTTGATGTACTACCCGATCATTAGCTCTCAGTTGACCTCCTCCTTTTTGGGTTGTAAAAGAAAGCCTGACAGGCACTGCCTGAAGAAAATTCTTACCTGCCTTTATGACCCTGTAGGAATTCAAGCCTGGTGACCTGGCTGGAGGGGGAGGATTGCTATGGCTTGGGTTTATAACTGAACACCTCAGAGACTTGGGAGGACTTAGAGGTATAAGGAGACGGAGAGGAAGGGAGGAATGGAGAACTTGAGGACGGAGAACTGAGAGGGATAAGGAGGATTTTGAGTAGAGAACTTGAGGATGAGATGGAAGATGAGGGAGAGCCAGATGGGGAAGTACTAGCTGGGTAAGAACAAGATGAGAAGGACCTAGATGAGGCAGAACTAAGATGAGAGAATTAAGATAGAACTTAGAGGGGACAGTACATAAATATAGAGAGAAATCAGGCAAAAAAGGAGCTATGCACAAGAACAGAACTGAAGCTGTGTAGACAGGATTTTATCCCAGAGGAATAAAGTGGACGGACAAAGAACATGGTGTACTTAGATTCTTTTCCTGAAAATAATTCTCGCCGTTCATAGTTTCTCTTCTGGGCCCCTGGGAAGAATATTATTAAGGCTGGTTCTTAAATAATATTCAAGATACACAAAGAAACTCTGCCTTGAAAAAACAAAAGAGTTGACAATGAGAATTCAGTCAGTGAAGTGCTTGTCTTTTGAGCCCCAGAATGCATGTAAAAATGCTGCCACCCTTGGACTCCCAGCACTAGGAAGGTAGAGAGAGGTGGATCCCTGGGAGCAGGGTGGCCAGCCATTCTAACTGGTGAGCTCCAGGTCAGGGCAATGAGAGATCCTGTCTCAAAGGAAGTGGACAGCATTTCTGAGGACAATAGATGAGGTTGCCCTCAAGCTCCCACACGCACATATGACATGAACACACAAGAATAAAAGGGGAAAAATGTTCTTGATAAATCCAAGCCAGTGTTGGGACACAGACCTCTAATCCTAGCACACAGGAGGCAGAGACAGAGTTCGGGATCATTTTTGTATACGTAAGTGACCAATCTGGGCTAAGATTTTGTCTGGTCAGGCATTGGTGGTGCACACCTTTAATCCCAGCACTCGGGCAGCAGAGCCAGGTGGATCTCTGTGAGGTTGAGGCCAGCCTGGTCTATAGAGTGAGATCCAGGACAGGCACCAAAACTACAGAGAAACCTGTCTAAAAAAAAAAAAAAATTTATATCAAAAATAAGAATACATGAGGCTGGAGGATTGAATTTGAAACAATCTGGGTACACAGTAAGACCTTGGCTCAAAAAAGGGAGAAGACTGAGGATATGGCTCAGTGGTAAATCAAGGTCATGGGTTTCAATCCCCCTGGAGAATGGACACACACACACACACACACACACGACTTGGAAGTCTGATTGATACAATGTATGTACCTCTTTTGAGGGACATTAACTCAAATTACCCTGCCATCTTCAACTAGTCATTTGCAGAAGCAACTTCACAGGTCAGGGCTGGGGTGACTCCCAGATGTTACCACTAAAAATCAGAACTGGTCTAACACTTTCTGTGTCAGACACAGAACCACTGGCTCTCCTTTGTTCTTGTGGCATCCTGCCTGGCACACAGGTGCTGGCATCTGGGCAATCCAATAGGAAATGCTGAAGACAGGAGAAATGAGCTATGTGCAAGGCCCCGAGTTCCATCTCCATTTAAAAAAAAAAAGCACCTTTTCTCTCTTAGGTCAGCAACAGTTGGCTGCGGAAGATTCGCCAGCCTTCAAGGGGTTGCAGTCAGAACCATAAACTGTCCCATGCCTTGAGAGCACTCTGGTTCCAAAGCCTCCACTCTGCATCTCCTGGAGGGTGGTAACGTGCAGGCTCTTCCACATGCATTCCCTTGTTAGCCTTGTCAAGTTATTATAAGCCACTAGTGGGGCAGTGTTCTGTTCCCTTGGCTATTTGCTTCTGCAACTTCTAAATAAAGCAGGTAATGCAGCTGGGTGTGGTGCCAGAGGCTGGCGATTCTGGCACTCTTGAGGCTGAGGCGAGAGGGAGCTTAGGCCATACACAAGAACAGTCCTTTCTCACAAAGGGAATTAGGTAAGGCAAGCCTTTCTTAGAAGGGCCGGAGGTCTCCTCTGAAATCACTTCAGAATTCAAGCCCAGTACAGGTTCCTGGAGTTCACCTTGGATGTGCTAGCTGGGTGCACATCTTAGGGAGGGACATCTAATGTCCACTGAGTTTGGGAACGTCTGTCTGTCTGTCCAGTAGATAGGTATTATCTTTCTTTAGGACTAAGGCTCACAGGCCATCAAAGTTCTCAGGGGGTTGGCCAATTTTAGGTAGGGTAGGTCTTTTTTAGGTATACATGTGCGGTGTATATGACATGTGTGTGAGTGAGGATGCCCATATGCAAGAGGGCATCTTATCTCTTGGAGCTGGAGTTACAGGGAGTTGAGAGCCACCCAACGTGGGTCCTCTGGAACACCTTTCTTTTTTTTTTTTTTTTTTTGTTTTTTGAGACAGGGTTTCTCTGTGTAGCTTTGCGCCTTTCCTGGAACTCGCTTTGGAGACCAGGCTGGCCTCGAACTCACAGAGATCCGCCTGCCTCTGCCTCCCGAGTGCTGGGATTAAAGGTGTGCGCCACCACCGCCCGGCCCGGAACACCTTTCTAATCAGATTTTTGTTTGGTTTTTCCAGACAGGGTTTCTCTGTGTAGCCCTGGCTATCCTGGAACTTGGCTCTGTAGACCAGGCTGGCCTCCAACTCACAGAGATCCACCTGCCTCTGCCTCTCGAGTGCTGGGATTAAAGGCGTGCGCCACCACACCTGGCTTCTTTTGGGGGGGAGATTCCAATGAAGGATGGTCACTCCACTGTCAAGGAGCTAATCTCTGCTGAAAACACCTTAATACTGTGGCCAATCAGCATCCTCCTGTTTTTCCTCCATCCCTGTCCCTTCTGTTTCAGCTGCTTTCTATCTGATTTCATAAGGACAAAGGATCTTACTCTTTGTACCAACAGTACAGATCTTTGAAAGGGGAGGTTGGTTCATCAGTGCCTTTGTTCCAGGAGAGTAGGTCTTTCCTGCAGGGCAGGCAGGTACTGAAGGTGGTGCCCATGATTGAGAAACTCTAGTGGAAAACCAACTGTGTGTCAGGGATATCCAATAGGTGCTTTTCCTTTATCATTTATTTTTGTGTGACTGCAGGTGCATGCGGACCATGGTGCATAGGTAGAGGTCAAAGGGCAACTTTTGGGAGTTGGTTCCACTATGAGCTCTGGCGAATCAAATGAAGGTTGTAAGGTTTGTGTGGCAAGCGATTTGACCTGCTGGGCCCTCTTGCCAGGTTGTAACAGGTGTTTCCTTTTCTAAATTATAATTAGGACAATGGCATAAAACTAAAAGGGAGGGTGGGCCTGGGTCCTGGTCCTGTGTAGTCTCATCTCTTTTCATCTGAGCAACAGATCAAGCCACAGAATAGGCATGCTCAATGGGTGGGTCTAAGGTCTCCCCCGCCCCCAAGTTCCTTTTCTCTCTCAAGCGTGTCCTTCTTTCCAATAGAAGTAAAGGCATTCTTTCCAATAGAAGGAACTGGAGTAATCTTGGAGGAGGAGGAGGTTGAGGGGTAAATACACTCCCTCATCTAGTCACTTCCACTTCCTTGTTGGGAAAGGCCAGGGGACAGACAGAATAGGATATGGATATTTAACCAAATGAAACCAGATTTAAATTCAAGCTCTGCCCTGGGCTGAAATGACCCTCAGCAAGTCACTCCAGAGGCCTCCGTTGTAAAACATGCTCTCCACAGGGTCAAATGCAAATGTTACTCAAAATAACCCAAGGGCACGGGCTTGTAACCCCAGCTACTCAAGAGGCTGAATCAGGAGGACCACAGGCTCAGAGCCTGGCCAGGACATACAGTGAGCCCAATGCCAAGTGGGCAATCAGCAAAACCTGGTCTCAAAAATGAAAGAGATGAGGATATAGTTTGGTGATAGTGAGCTTGCCCAGCATGTGAGAGATCCAAGCAAATCTCCAGTTCTTGGGGTGTGGGGGCAGGGAGGAGTACTTAAGACACACTAGACAACCGAACACTGACCAGGCATCCTGTCCCTTCTTCCTACAATAAATGTCTATTGACTGCACCACAACTTGGGAGCCAATGCACTTCCTACTCTAGATCCCATTACTCAGAACTTCCAACTCTGGTACTGGGTAAAGTACCAAGAGCTCCCTCCTCTGCCACTGTTCCCGATCACACCTGATCCAAGTTTGAATGCCCTCAGGGATCTAGTTTGAGAAATCCAGATGGCTTTGTAGGATGTGACCCACATCAGGCAGGAAATGGAGAGCCAGGGCTGAGAAGTACATCAATGTTTCTCTCAAATTGGTTCCAGCACACACACAACCCCACCAAACCAAACTGCTTCAAGATTTTCCTTAGGCTGTGGAGACCTCTAGTGGTAAGACATGTTGACTTCATTGACACAAGAGGTCTGTTTCAAAGAACCATGCCATGGACTCTGGCTGCCTTCTCTTCAATCCAGCAAACTGTATCAACTCTTACTACCTGCCAAGTTCTATTGGGGTGCTAGGAAGATGCAGCCAGGGGAGGTCAGAGCTAGTGCCTGGCCTCATGATCCCCCAAATCCACCCTACATATCCGGGCCTCACAAAGGCACATAAATGTCCAACTCAGTCTTTATTGACTGCTTCATTTTGAGACCACCAAACTGGTGGAAGGTGGGGAGAGGGGGAGGGGTCCTTTATGTATCAAGGACCTCAGAGCAACACCCTCAGAAAAGAGAATAAATTTAGTTACAGAACTTATATGGAGAGAGGAGAGGGGTACAATATGTACACAGGTTTTAAGGGGCTGTCTGAGGTGTTCAGCATCAAGGGTTGGTGATACTGAGGAAAATGGGGGCCAGTCAGCCGCTGATCTGGACCCCCTCAGCCTCTGCTAAAGGGTAGATCTCAATGGCCTCCACAAGGGGCAGGGCCTCCACTGCCGTTTCCATCACGGCCAGGCCCACGGCGGCCTCGGCCTCTGCCAGCTGCTGCCGCACTGCCGCCTGATGCTGCTGCTGGTGAGTCTTGCGGTGCTTCCAGAGGTTGGAGAAGGAGCGGTAGCTCTTGCCACAATCAGGGCAGGAGTAGGGCCGTTCACCCGTGTGAATGCGGCGATGTTCTGCCAGGCGCATGGAGATGGCAAAAGCCTTGCCACACACTTCACAGGCAAAGGGCCGCTCACCTGTGTGTAGGCGCCGGTGGTCTTTCAGATGGGTACTCTGGCGGAAGGCCTTGCCACAGTCTGGACATGGGTACGGCCGCTCACCTGTGTGGATCCGTCGGTGCACCTGCAGTGATGTCTCTGTGCTGAACAGCTTCTTGCACTCACTGCATTCCAGGCCACGCCGCCGGGCAGGGGCTGCAGGGGCAGCAGAGGTTGCACCACTAAGGGCTGTTGGGGAGGGAGTGACCGGTGTGCGAGTGGCCCGTGAGGCCCTGGGAGCCGGGGGCTCCTTAGCCAAGACTTCTCCAGGACCGGCAGCAGCGTGGGCAGCTTCATGGGCCTGCAGTCGAGCAGCAGAGCCCACTTTCTTGCCACAGGTCCCACACTCAAAGCGCCGTGGGGCCTGGGCAGCGGCGGCTGCACAGCGATGCTCATAAAGCCGCAGCGAGGAGGGGAAGGCAGCCCCACAGGATGGGCAGTGGTGGGGCTGGCGCCCAGCATGGACCACAAGCTGGTGCACCTCTAGCAGCCGGCGCAGCAAGAAGGAGCGGGGGCACTCTCGACACTTGTAGGGGTACTCGCCTGTGTGGTGGTAGCGGTGCATGAGCAGACGATAAGGGCGGTGAAAACGCAGTCCACACTCCTGGCAGCGGTAGGGGAAATGCTGGGCATGCACCAGGCGATGCTGCCTCAGAGTGGAGCTCTGAGTGAAAGCCTTGCCACAGTCCCCACACCGGTAGGGTCGTTCCCCTGTGTGTGTGAGCCGGTGGCGGGCCAGGTTGGCAGGTGAGTTGAAGGGCTTGGAACAGTCAGGGCAGGAGAAGGGACGTTCCCCGGTATGTGTGCGCAGATGGTTCCGCACATGAGACTTCTTCTTGAACATCTTGCCACAAATGCTGCATTTATGGCGCCGTTCCAGCCTGTGCACAAAACGCTGGTGCCGGGTCAGCTGTAATGCCTTGACAAACTCACGGCTACACAGGAGGCAGCGGTAAATGCCCGGAGCCGGAGGCTCTGCTGGATTCTCCTCAGTTGTGGGGAGCTCTGGGGCCTCTGGCTCTCTAGTCTCTGCAGGGGCTGGCTCAGGAAAGCTAACAGCAGGCTCCTCTGGCAGAACTGGTGCTGGGGGCAAAGGGATACCTCCTGCCCCATGGGTACGCCGGTGATAAAGGAACTTGGTAAGGTTGACAAAGGTCTTCCCACAGGGACACGAATGCAGAGGATTTGGAGTATGGGCTCGCCGGTGGGCCAAGAGAAGGGCTTCTGTGCCGTAGGCCAGGCCACAGTCTACACATAGGAAATGAGATTCACTGCTGTGGTCACCAAGGTGCTGATCCAGACCAGAAGGGCTGGGGAAGACACGACTGCACAGGGGACACTTAAAGACACCCTCCTGGTGACTCCGAAAGTGCTGCTGTAGCTGGTGGGGCGAGAGAAAGAGCTGATCACAGGCTGAGCAGAAGAGTTCCTGGGTGGCTGACCCACCGGGCTCTCCATTGTTGTTCCTCCGGGGCTTCCGCCCGCGGCGATCCCGTCCAATGGCCTCCCCATTGCGCAGCTCGTAACTATGGTCAGAGGCTGGCAGGGGCTCAGGCAGAGACACTGGCACCTCAGTGGGTGAGGGGATCAGGGTTTCCTGCTTTGTAGCAGGCTCCTCAGCCTCTGGGACAGCAGGGAAGTGGGTGGCCTGGTGCTCCAGAAAGTCGGCCGGCAGCTGGAAGAGCTGAGAGCACTCAGAGCACTTGTAGAGGAGCAGCTCCACCTCTGTCACCATCTCAGTAGTGGCAGCAGCTGCAGACGGGACAGCAGCCCCTTCTCCACCTTCTTCTGCTTTTCGGTATGAATGGTCCACAGCCACTCGGGCCTGGCTCACAGGCGGGCCTAAGACAACTGGGGACCCCAAGACAACTGGGGCAGGAGCCTTGGTGGGCGTGGCCCTGAGATGCATCTGCCGATGGTTCAGCCACAGTTCTTGGCTGGCAAAGAGAGCCTTACAATCCACACACTCGTAATGAATGGTGCTGGAGTTTAAGGGGGGCACCTTGGGTGGTGGCTCAGCTGGCACTGCCTCCTGGGGGGCCATCATCTTCAGGTGCAGCTCCTGGTGCTCCAGGAGCTGGCTAGGCGACAGAAGCAGCTGCCCACACTCAAGACACTGGTACTGGCTCTCCTGTATGAGGGTCTGATATAGGCCTGTACCTGATGCTGCATCTGTGGCCACCGTGATTCCAGGGTCAGCCACGCCCACCAGCTCAAAGTGCTGCTGGGGCACATGAGAGTTCTGGTGCACAAGCACCTCCTCCAAGGAGCCATAGAGCTGGTTGCACTCAGAGCAGACATAGCGATGCTCAATATACAAGAATGTCTCCTCACTCTCCTCAGTCATGGCAGCAACAAGGCCCTGGGCTAAGAAAAGGGAGGGCGGAAACAAGTCAATCCTCCAGGGCAATTCTTTCCCTTCATCACCTCTACATTCTAATGCCTTAGATATATTTCCTCCTCCAACTTCTTTTTTTTTTTTTTTTTTTTGGTTTTTTGAGACAGGGTTTCTCTGTGTAGCTTTGGAGCCTGTCCTGGAACTCACTCTGTAGCCCAGGCTGGCCTCGAACTCACAGAGATCCACCTGCCTCTGCCTCTTGAGTGCTGGGATTAAAGGCATGCACCGCCACCGCCCGGCCTCCTCCAACTTCTTGATTACATTTTTCCTCTCTGACACCTCCCTAAGTATCCTAAGAGAAACAGCCAACAGGAATTTCCCCAGGGGTCTTTTCCTGGAGACTCTACCCCAAGTCTCCCCTCTCCATTAACTTGCAGCGAACTCCACCCACCAGATCCTGTAACCTATCCAATCTTCTCCATTCCCATGCCTCAAAACAGGTTCCCAAGGCCCTGTTAACCAAAGGGGAACTAGCTTCCCTGTGACACAGACCTTCCTCTGACTATGCACCATCGCATGGGACAATACTCCTTTGCCTACCTACCACAGAATCCTCACACCTTCTCCTGGCCTGTTTCCCAGCAGCACTCCTACACGGACTCTGCTCTTTTCTGTAGGTTCACAAACTTTTTACACTCAGACCACTCAAACTGGTATACAAACCAACACCCCCTACTCTATTTTAGGCACTGGTGGTCTGAGCCCTCCCCTCGTCCGCCACCCAACCTCTGCAAACCAACAGAGCCCAGATTCCTCACATCAAGTCACCCAAACTCCAATTTTCTCTCACTGGCTTAATCCATCTCCATACTTTCCCACCTTAACCACTTCCTGATACTCAAAGACTCTTAAAACTGGTTCAAACTAAGCACATCAAGATCTTCTCAGCTGGGCAGTGGTGTCACACATCTTTAATCAGGAAGCAGAGTTCCAGGACAGCCAGGACTACACAGAGAAACCCTGTCTGGAAAAAAATAATAATACAAGACCTTACGTATCATCAACCTTTACCCAAAACAAACTCCACAAAAGCCCAATCCTTTATACCTAGACTATTCCCACCCTCCTTACGTACCACCAGAGTACTCAAACAATCACCTTCTCTCTCCATGAAGACCAAGTATACTATGCTAATCCCCTCAGGTCACCCAGATTCCCTTTTCACAGTGACATAACTCTCTTTCCCAAGGCCACCATCTGGGGATGACTATATGGCCATTTTTCTTTTTCTATCAACCAACACCACCCTTTTTTGCATAAACGTCCAGGCCAACCTTAACCCATCCCAGAAGCCCCCTTAACAGTATCAATCTAAACCTTTCTTCTTTTGAGAAAAGACCCAAATCCATCCTAACCCACTCCAGGAACTTTCAGATCCCCATTTCATACAAATTTCTTTGTGCAAGAAAATCCCCACATATTGTAATCTTGGCCAGGGATATCCAGAGCCTATCCTTCACAATGGCTTAACCTTTCCCCTTCCTGCTGTTTCTATCCTCCTCAGGACTCCCAATGTCTTGCATATAAAAGCTCCATTACTACCCAAAGAAAGCAAAAAGAGGCCCTCTTCTTCATAATCCTTCTCATCAGCATACGACTATAGGGATACCCAGAACACCGAAGTTATCAGTATGTTATAGCTCATTCTCAACCCCAAAATTCCCACACTACCACCTCTCCGTGGCACACTTCTCTCTCTCCCCAACTACATCTAGGATTGCCCACATCTTCACTTTGGCCTACTTATCTGTACCTAAAACAAAACAACCCCTCCCCACCTCAACCTATGGGAACCATAAAGATCGCTGTCAACACTTTTCAAGGATATTCCACACACCCCCAATTCCATGGGTTTACCGACCTTCCATGTTAATATAACCCCAATTCCCACACCTGATCGCTCCCTTAGTTCTAAAACCCCTTCCTTCTCTGCCTTAGTTCTTTGCAAGCAGAAATCGATTTTCCTCCCTGCATTAATTACCTCCTTTCTCGGGCCACCTCCCCACCCCAGCACCCAAGAGCCCTCTGATCGTCCTCTTTCGATCCTTGGACCCATCCCAGCGCACCCGCCCGCAGCCCCGATACCCCACGTAACCAGAGAGCCCTCCGCCAAGGCAGCTCTGGGACCTCCCCTTCCCGCCAAGGTCGGCCCCCTGCCCAGAGCCCGAGCCCTGCCCCTCCTCACTCAGCCCCGCACACAACTCCAGTCCCTCTACCCCACCCGCCACCCCGGCCCGGCCCGCGCGTCCGGCGGCCAACGGCCGCTCCGCCCTCCGCACCCGGGGCGCGCTCCTTCAGGCCTTCTGCGTGCAGGCCGAATGACGCGAGCAACCCGCGGGGTGGGGGCCGGGCCTCCGCGCTCCCGCGGGAGCTCACCCGCCTCGGCCGTCTAGCCGGCCCCCGGCCGGGCCGCGGACTACAGCTCCCTTTGCACAGCCACTCTAGCGCCGCGTCCTCTCTAGCGCCCGTCGTCTCGCCTGCTCCGCAGCCTCGCTCTCGTCCGGGCCCCCCCCCCTCTCAACAACGCCCCTCCCACCTTCCGCCTCGGCCGCCGCGCAGACCGCACAACGCGCCCAATCACCGACCGTCCGGCCCGACCGTTAGACCAATCGGCGCTCACGTTTCTGAAGCCTCTACCAATAGTGCGGAGGGGCGGGATCAGACGGCATCCAGCCAATCCGCTAGCAATATTCCCTCACCGGTCGGCCTCCAGGTGGATAGTGCCCGCCCCTTTAAGCCTCCCAAGAGGCTTCTTTCCTCCCCTCACTTCTTTCCTTGGACTCCGCCTGTGATGGTCGAAAGGGCACCGCTGAACGGAGAGCTGCGCCATGACGTCGGGAGGCGGGACGAAGCAGTAGGCGCCATCTTGGGGGCGCCTGGCAAGCATCGGCCTGGGGGTTTTGGGCAAAGCGTGGGATATAGAGGCAAGCAATGCTCTGAAGGCCGGAGAATTGCAGCCCAAGAACCCCCGAGGGCCGGTGGCAGAAAGTGAAACACCACTCGGCGTGAATGAGAGAGGGAACCAAGCCGCAGCAGTCAGACCGAGGGAAAGGGGGAAGCCAAGGCTAAAGACTTTATTTTCTTATTAAGCGGCGGCTGATGAAAGAGGGGGAAATAAGGAAGGGTGGGATGGAAAGGAAATTTTAGGAGAGTAAGTCTAGGGGAAGAGGAGAACCAAAAGTACGTGACAGGAACTGGGAAATGGAAGGAGAGAGAAAAAGGAAAAGCTCGGTTAATAAGTTCCTTTGGAAGAAGCTGCGGTTGTGGGGTGGAGATCCAGATGAAGGAAGTGGACCCGAAGAGGGTCAGTTTCGGTTTTTTTTGTTCTTATTTTTGAGACAGTCTTACTATGTAGACCAGAGTGGTCTCGGAGATCTGCCTGACTCTGCCTCGTATTTTGGGGATTAAAGGCACACACCATTCCTCTTTCAAGGTGACGTCCTTCCACACAGTTCAGGACCCCTAGGCATGGGAAGGAATGGAGTTCCAGGCCAGCCAGGGTTACACATAAGAGACCCTGTTGCTGGGTGTTGGCGCACACCTTTAATCCACTCGGGAGGCAGAGGCAGGTGAATCTCTGTGAGTTCAAGGTCAGCCTGGTCTACAGAATGAGTTCAGGATAGTCAGGACTTCACAGAAAAACCCTGTCTCAAACAGCCAAAAAGAGAGAGAGAGACCTGGTATTCAAAAACAAACAACAAACAAACAGAAAGTAAAGAGCCAGTGAGATGGTTCAGCCCGTAAAGCAACTTCCTTCCAAGCCTGATCCTGAGTTTTTACCTTGGGATCCACAAGGTGGAAGGAGACCTGAAAACTCTTTGTCTTTCAGGAGAGTTTTAAAACTCCGGGTTTCAGACTCAGAAGGACAAACATAGTATGTACTCACTCATAAGTGGATATTAGATGTGAGGGAAGGGATGGCCAGACTGTAACCCACAGCTCCAGAGAGGCTAGCTAACAGGGAAAGACTCTAGGAGGGACACATGGATGACCCAGCAAAGGAGAAGTGGATGAGAGCTACATGAGCAGACTGGGTGTAGGGGGTGGGGAGGTGGCGGAGGGTGAGGAGTAGGGGATCAGAATATAAGGAAGTGGAAGGGTTGAGCTGGAACAGGGACAGAGTGGGAGGGCAGGGATGGAGATACCATGATAGATGAGGACATCATGGGAATAGGAAGAGGCAGGGTGCTGGGGAGGCTCTCAGGAATCCATAAGGATGACCCCACCTCAGTCTGCTGGCAGTGGTGCAGAGGGTGCCTGGACTGCTCTACTCTGATGACTGGTCTAGCAAATAACCTACCTGTCATCATAGAGCCTTTGTCCAGTGACTGATGGAGGCAGATGCAGAGATCCACGGCCAGGCACTAGGCTGAGCTCCGGGAATCCAATCCATGAGAGAGAGGAGAGATACTGCAGACGGGTGATGTCGAGATCATGATGGGAGGACGTGCAGAGATGACTGGCCACACTAGTGGAAGCCCATGAACTGTGGACTGCTGGCTGTGGAGCCCCCACAGGACTGGACTAGGCCCTCTGGATACGGAAGACGGTTGTTTGGCTCAAACTATTTGGGGGGGCACCCAGGCAGGGGGATCGGGATCTGTCCCTGGTGCATGGGCAGGCTTTTGGGAATCTGGTGCCTGTGGTGTGACCCCATGCACAGCCTTGGTGCAGTGGGAAAGGGGCTTGGACCTGCCTAGGCTCAGTGTGCTAGGCTCTGCTGACTCCCCATGGGAGACCTTGATTTGGGGGATGTGGGGTGGCTTAGGAGAGAGGGCTGGGGGGGTGGGAGGAGGGAGGAGGGGATCTGTGGGTGGTATGTGGAGTGAGAAAATTTCTTAATAAAGAAAAATGAAAAAATAAATAAAAAACAAAAAACCCTCCAGGTTTTCCTCTTCCCCTAGACTTCCTCTCTTAACATTTCCTTTCCATCCCACCCTTCCTTATTTTTCCCCTCTTTAATCCCCGCCTTAATTAAAAGTCTTTAGCCTTGTTTTCCCCCTTTCACTCGATCTGACTGCCAAGTGGTGTTTAATTTTCTGCCACCGGCCCTCGGGGGTTCTTGGGCTGCAATTCTCAGGCCTTCAGAGCATTGTGTGCCTCAATATCCCCCACTTTGCCCAAAACCCTGCACCAGTGCTTGCTGGGCGCCTCCAAGATGGCGCCTACTGCTTTGTCCCGCCTCTTGAAAACTGTGTGTGCTTGCATGTGCACACACACACAGACACACACATCTAGAAAGAATAAAAATAGGTGGAAAGTGACTGAGAAGACGTTCAGTGTCTATATTTGGACTCCAGATTTGGACACCAAAGTTTTCTGGAAGCTCCTCCTTGAATCCAAGGTCAGGGGAGCCATCAGAGGTGCACTTGATAAACTCTGTCCCTCATTTCTCAGATGAGAAAAAGAGTCTTGGAGTTGGGTCATTTCCCCATCTGAAGCCAAAAACCTGGGCGATTGAACACAGAACCAGATACAGGTCTGACTATTCCCTTGTCACCTTTTGTGTGCTCTTCTAGTGGGATCTGACTGGGTGTCCTAACTTCTCACTAGACTCCCTAACAGCAGGCCCACGTGTTGAAACTAGGCTGCTTGGCCTGAATGCTGGCCCTGGACTTCCTGTGACTTTGGGCTTAACAACTCCACTGTGTCTCAGTTTTTTTCCTGGGACAAAGAATGGCAGTCTTTGTCCCTGGGCTGTGAAGCCCTAAGTAAACACTGCTATATAGACAGTATTATTTTTTGAGATAGGGTCTCTATGTAATCCTGGCTTCCCGGGAACTCTACGTAAACCAGGCTGGCCTCAAGAGATCCACCTGCTTCTGCCTGCTGGGATTAAAGATGTGCACCACTACGCCTGGCTCGAGGAATTATTTTTAGTATTTTATGTTTATTAGGATCTCAAGGTACCTAATTTAGCTGACATCTGAGTGTGTTAGGTGACACTAGGGGTTCTGCCCAGTGCTTTTCATGCATTATTTAATTATCTGATCAACCCTCTTAGGGAACAACAATTACCTGAGGTACTAAGAAACTGGGGCCATCATTCGACCCCCGGAGAGAATTCCCTCTCTAGGTCCATACTCAATTCCCTAGCGGCTAGGTTGTTTGTGGTCATAGGGCAAATGGTTGACTTCAGGGCAAAGCAAAGGATGGGGGTGGGGGAAGGATGAGGGGAGGCAGCAGGGCTGCAGATTTTAAAAATAAAAGATAAAGGTGAATAAAGCAGTTGGTGGGAATCGGTGAGTTCTAAGGTCAGGGCCTGGCTGCTCTCTAATGGAGTCTGGGTTTGCCCTTGGTGTGAAGTCACCTGTGTAGGAGCCAAAGTGCAAACCAGGCTCTACCTTTGGGTAGGTTCTGTACTCTCGGGTCACGTTTTGTTCCTGTTGAGGCCTCCTTTTCCCTCCTGAGGTTCCAGCTTAGCTCTCCAGGCTCCTTCTGTAAACCTGGTTGGACATCCCAACTTAATTTGAGCTGGCGAGACCCTGTCCCTGCAGAGGAAGCTGAGGCCTGGTCAGACATTCTGGTGGTAGTGCTGGGCTGGGACTTTTGGGATGGATTGTGACGAAAGAGGGTAGATGGTAAGGTACCTGGATCAGCAAAGACCTAGAGGCAGGCATGAAGTACTGGCCAGAAGCTCGGTGGGAGCAGAGTTAAGGAGACTGTAGGTGTTAACCCCAGAGGATGAAGGGGTATAACAAAATCAGTGCTTCTAATTTAGGGTCAGACGTGGCACATGTTGGGCATGCCCCACAGAGTCAGAGCTCACCATGCTAGGCTTGGTGTAGTCTGAGCTGCCACGTGCCAACTGTGTGTGCAAGGCATGTAGTCACATGTGCTGGGGGCTGCACGTGAGAGTGTCAGTGTCTCCTCCCCATCACGAGCATGGGGGTGGTGGTGAGTCACGGGCTCAGCCTTCAGCACCAACTGTCATGTTCCTTCCCCCCAAATTTCACCCCCCCACACACACCCAGCCATGCACCACCTACCCCCACTTAAAGATCTATGTTGATTCTGTATTCCATCCCCCTGCCCTTCTGTGCCCCCTCAGAGAGGCAGCAGTATTCTCTGAGGGAGAAGGTTTCTCTCAGCTCTGGCTCTGCACTCCAGTTTCCTATCATTTTGCATCCCTTTCTCACTGCCTCATTGCTCAGGTGACTAGAAGATGAAGGTCTCGTCTCCCTTCCCACTCATCTCCACGGGTCCCCAGGAGTTCTCTGTGCATAATGGAGAATTCCCATCCTCCCCCTCTCCAACATCCTCAGCCTGTTTCCAGAGGCTTTCCAGTTACATCTCCTCCAGCTAGCCACGCCTGCCTCAGTGGGCCTCTTTGTGTCTATGAGCCACCTGTGCCCATGGGACTGTCCCCTGATTCGGTGACCTCTCCTTGCTCTCTGGGCTCTGTGTAGGCTTCCTGGTTGCCTCTTCTGTGTATGGCTCCCTATCCTGGAGGAGTCTTTCTGTCTCTGTCCCTCTGTCTCTGGCCTCTCCCTACCTTCAGACACCCCTGTGTCCCTAAGCTGCTCGTCTTGTCTCCTGTCCTCAAGTGGCTTGGTTTTCATTGCCTGGACTTTTCCCTGTCCTTGGCCTTGTGGAGTTTGTGGGCCTTGGCCCACCTCTCTGTGGTCCTTTCTCCATGCTCTCTCCCCACCTCTAGGCCCTTCGCCCAGTTCTCCCCACCAATGCCTCTCATCTCCATGGGCTCCAGTACCCAGGACTGCCTGGGCAGGGCGGTGGCATGGTGTGGTTGGAGGGGGTGGCCCCGGGGGTGGGCCCTTCATCCAATGCAGCTCGCTCTTCTCATCAGCATTCTCCTCGCAGGGCCCCCCAGCCCCGACCAATACGATCTCCCCCTCCTCTGCTCCCCTCCCTCCTTGCTCCCTGCCTGCCTCCCTCCCTTTCTCCAGCCCGCCCTCCTCCCTGCCTCCCTCCCTCCATCTCTCACCACCACCACCACCACCACCACCACCACCACCACCACCACCACCACCACCACCACCACCACCACCACCACCATCACCACCACCACCACCACCACCCGCCCTCCAGGACCCAGCGCGGGCGAGCAGGCGGGCGGGCGGGCAGGCAGGCAGGCGGCGGCCTAGGAGGGGAGAAGGAGCGGTGGCGGCAGCGGGTAGTAGCGGCCGGCCGGCAGCAGGGAGGCAGGCCCGGCTGGGGACACGGAGCCGCCAGCGGCTGCTGCTCACAGGGGACCAGTCCGCGGCCAGGCCCTCCCACCGAGAGCGGGCCGCCCCCGGGACACCCCACCCTCCTCCGCCTTGCCGTTCCACCTGCTTCTCTCCATCCTCTCCTCCCACCTCGTCCCTCCACCTCGTCTGCCCCCTTCTTGGTCTCTCCAGGGCTGCCAGTTACCCTGTCCTCGCCAGCCCGGTCTCTGCCCGGCCTCTCCTGGCCCCCCAAGCATGCTTTTCCCGTGGGGACTGAGGGCTTGAGAACTCAGGGCCCTAGCCTCATCCAGGGCAGGGCCAAGGCTCTGGGGGGAGGGGGGGAAGGGGGCGGCCCCCTCCCCCCCAGCAGGCCCTCCCCTCCCCCACTCCTCCCGATGGCCGGCTTTCTTTTCTCCACCCAGTCCTCACCCCCTGTGCCCCCCCCAGGCCGGCCCGGCTAGGGGAGGGGGCGGGGGCCCTTTCCTGGGCCGGCTTCCCCCTCCCCCGGCTTTGCCTGTGCCCCCCTCCCTTCCGTTTTCACCTTCCTCTCCTCCTTTCCTCCCTCCTTCCCCTCCGTTTGCTCCTTCCCCCTCTCCTCTCTCCCCTTCTCTCCTCCATTTTCTCCTTTCCCCTTCCTCCCCTCCTGGCCCGCCCTTTGCTTCTCCACCTGTCCTTCCTCCCCGCTGCTGGGGAGACACCGTTTTGGATTAGTTGGGGGCCACCGCCGGCGGCGGGGGAGGGGGCCCAGTGGACTGCCCTCTCCCCCGGCCCCAGCCTCACCAGCACCCAGAGTCGGAGCATCTCCTGGTTGTCGTCTCTCGGGCCTCGAGGGAGCCCAGCCCTCCGTCCCACCAGGATCCGTAAGTGTCTGCAGGGCGGGGATTGGGCTGGGTCCTGGGTCCTGGAAGGCCAGGCTCCCTGCCCGGCTGGCAGGGCCCCCACAGTCCTTGCTCCCCGTGGATGGCAAGGCACCTACTCCACCCCTGCTTCGTGCCCTCCCTCTCAACCTCTCATTCTCCACGACCTTTTCTCACCCTTACTTCTGGGCACACACCTCACACCTGCCCTCAGTCCCAGCTTCCCCCGGCCCTGTGGTCTGACTGGCTCTGTGATAGCTCACTTCACAGGGTTTCTTCGCTTGTTCCTTCTCCGAGCTTTGGGTCCCAGACCCACGCTGTGGCTCCTGACTTGTGTGTTCGTTTTCTCTTTTCCTGCCTTACCACAGGCCCGGTGCCCATTGCACCTCTTGTCTCCTGGAAATGCCTTTGCATTTTCAGCCTTTGCATTTTCAAGTCTGCATTTCGCCTACCTCCCGGGCCTGTCCGACTCTGCCCAACTTCTCTGTGCTCCACTGTTCTCCTAACCCTGTCTCTGTAGGAGATGCTTTCCCATCTAGCCTTCCCACTCTGTCTTTCCGTTCTCTGCCTGATCCTCTCCACCTGCAGGCTTCATCTCTCACTTTACAACTTCCATCCCCGAGACCCACTCTGGGACCCCAGTCTTCCCCTCTGGGGCTGTCCCCATGCACTGTGTTCTCCTCTGTTCCCTGGCTTTCACTCTGACTCTTGCACCCACCCTCCTGGTCTCTCTCTCCACTTCTGAACCACACCACCTGGCCTTTTTGCTCCCATCCCTCCCGGCACCCATGGACTCTGGGATCCTTGGCACTCCTGTAGGCCTCACTTGAGTTTCTGCATCAGTGGGGGCTGCTCTGCCCTTCCAGGGCATTCGCTTAGCCTCAGTTTCCCTCCTGGCTCATCCCTTCTCTAGCCTGTGTGGTCAGCCCTCTCGCTGCGTGCTTCTCCCTCATGCCTTTTCCTTCTGGCTTCTGCCCCCCGGCCTTGGCTTCTTTAGGCTGCCATGCAGCTCATCCCTTGCTCACACTCCTGTGTGTGTGTGTGTGTGTGTGTGTGTCTGTCTGTCTGTCTGTCTCAGACAGTCTCTCTCTCTCTCATCAGTTTCTTGTTTCTTTCTTTGCTCCCCATGGTTCTTTTTGTTTGTTTGTTCTGCTTTTGGAGACAGGGTTTCCTATAGCCCAGGCTAGCCTTGAGCTCACTATGTAGCTGAGGCTGGCTTTGAACTCCTGATCCTCCTGGCTCTGCCTGCTGATTGCTGGGATTACAGGTGTGTGACACCACACCCTGCTCTCCCCCATGGTTCTCATACTTGTTGTTACTCATCTGTTGGCCCCCTTTCTTCTCCTATTTGCCTCTTGTCCTTTGCATGTGTCTCCCCTTGCTGATGTCTCTCCTCCGACCTGTAGGGCCTGGCCCCCTCTCCTCAGCTCCCCTCTGTGGCTGGCTCTGTTTCCATCTGTATCTGACTGGTCCGAGCCTCGGGTCTGTGAGTCCTGGGCCCGCCTGCTCCCTGCTCCTTCTTGCGTTCCTCATCTGCTCCTTTGATATATCATTGCTTGTTTCTGAGATAGGATCTAGCTCTGTAGCACAAGGGTACCTGGGGATTCACTATGCAATAGAGTAAGTAGCCTCACACTCACAGTGATCCCCCTGCCTCCAGAGTGCAGGAATTACATCCTGGTGTGGATGTCTTACTTAGCGCCTGTCCTTTTCCCCCACTTAGCTCTCGTCACCACCGTGTGGCTATGTTTCTGTGCGTGCCTTCCAGGAGCTCTGTGTTTGTTTGCGACCCATAGTCTGTCTATGCACAGTGCCTCTGTCCCTCCATTCCCATCCGTGTCTGCCACCTGTGGGTCCCTGTCCTTCTGCTCTGTCTCAGTCTTTTTGTCTGTAGTCCCTGATCCCATTGGTTCCAGATGTCCCAGGATGAACCCCCCTCCCTCCTGCCCTTCCCCTTGAGAACTCTCCTTCTAGCTCTCCCAGAATTCCTTGCTCCTCTGTCCTGGTCAAGCCTCCACTTAGTTCTAAATCTCAGTCTGCAGCCGCCAGTCTGTTGAGCAGGCCCTCCTATCCCTCAGGCTCTCTTTACCAAAGGCTGAGAGGGGTGTGCAGGAGGACTTTCTCAAGGTCATCCAGGAAGTAGGGGCAAGTGTAGGGCTGATAAGGCACCCTTCCCCTTGGCCTGGACTTTTCTGGCCATAGAAGCCAATTCCAGGCCTTGGCTTGGGACTCTGCCCTTCCCCAGTACTTCTCATTCTGGCTTGTCACCAGCTGAAGTCTTTCCGTGGGTCCAGGTGGGATGCAGGGGGACACTAGACATACTTCACAGTGCTCTAGGCTCTACAATGACCCTCTTCCCTTGGCACATGGCCTATAACCAGGTCCGGGGATCCGTATGCACATCTGGCAAAACACATCCCGCTTGGTGGTTACACTTCCAGAGACCTGGAGTGCCCAGAGCAAACCGGAACTCCCTGAGGCTGGATCTGTGAGAAGGCACATACCATACCCCAGCTCCCCAGAACAGGGTGCAGGCAGTGTTTCGGCTCCCACCTCTCGCAGCCAGTCTTCCAGCGTTCCTTTCTTCCTACCGACTCTCTCTGGTTGTTGAGCTGGTTTGTGCCTCTCCCCGAGTTCTCTGTCTTTCTCTCCCATGCACTGGTATCCCCTTGTTTGATCTGCCCTTCTCCCTTGCTCAGGCTTCTATCCTTTATCTCACGTCTTCCTGTCCTTCTCTTTCAGTCTGTCTCCCAGTCCTGTCTCTAACCTCCTTCCGCTTCCCTTCTCTGTCTCTGTCATCTTCTGTTCTCATATACATCTGCCTGTTTTTCCCTTCCTTCTGCATTTTCCGGGTCCCTGCATCTTTCATTTTGCAGCCTCTCACCAGGTACTTTTTTCTATTTCCTCTTTTTTC